CTAGTTACTAGTAACATGTATCAATAAACAATATTAACATCAGTAATATAAAGTATACTTTTTAAATTTATTAAGAGAAATCATATTCTAGTAAATTGTAAAAAAAAAAAAATTTAATGTTTGTAAGTAAAAGGTACAGAAATTAATGAAAAGATTAATTTTGCGTCCATACTTCACACACGTGCATACCTGTCAACATGGTCAAAATTTTTCAGGGGAGAAAACGCGCGACGACCTTTTGTTAATACAAAAAGTTGCGCATTAATGTTTTATAGAACAAAATAAACAACTTACAAGATAAAACTTTATTATTAATATTAACATTATCATTAATTCATAAAATTTACTGTTTATTCATACATTGTTTAGAAACTTGTCCAATGTGATTTAATTTTGAAATTACAAAATTTTATATTCACTATCTATTCTGCCTGTCCATAAGAGCATCATTTATATAATATTCAAGGCAAATGTTGTAGTTTAACTTGGCAATTAGAAAAATTAATAAGGTTCTGCAGACAGTCTCAGTTTCCAGCTTTTAATAGATGTATGAATGGATTTTTCTCACTAAGGCTAAGGAACATGAGTTGTGTCCTGGATGTAAAGATCTGAAATTGAAATAATGGTCAAAACTTCATGCTTTTATTCTTAAAATAATGTGAAATCTAGAATGAATGAATTACATGGACCCTGTAAATTTTTTCTTCTTTTAATCTCATCACATATACCAGAATTTTTAAATATAATACCTTATTTTAGTAATGTTCTAGTGTGCTAATTTTATATTTTAATTTAGAAATGTATTACCCTGTTTAGCTTTGTAAATTTAAAGAAGTCTTCTAAAGACACTGTCTTGTTGCTCTACAGTTTTAGGGGCTGTTACATGCTGAAAATCTGTGGGGGAAATCTTCAGACTCTTCATTTATATTAGCTTCCATGAAATTGTTTCCCTCTCCTTGTTCAATTAATAATAGAGTACTGTAGCTACATCTTTCAAGATCACTGTATTGTTTATGGAAAAATAGTTTTGTCTTAGGTACTTGTAAACTAATTTGCAGCAAAGTATCAAGTACTTCCATTGCGTTTTTATCGTCATGTTCTGTAAAAATTTTCACATCTGGCATCTCTGTCTTTAATAATATACACTTTTAATGAGAATAAGGAGCAATTACAACTGCAATTACATCTGCTAGCACAGTTGACACCTTGTTGATTACCTGTTATCAGTGGCAATAAACAGATTAGCTACCGATAAACACTGCATGACCTCCATTTTTGTGTTGACTAGTCAGTATTTTACGAACCGAAGTAGGTAAAAAATCCGGATTTTTTCAAAATCGGTAGAAACGGCAGTTAAAAAAAAATTCGGTAGACAGGCGGTAGAGATGGTTAAAAATCGGTAGACTCCCGATAAAATCGGGAGAGTTGACAGGTATGCACGTGTCTAGATAAAGAACATCAAAAGTTAAAAAAAACTGAGTTATATTAAAAAATCAATATTGAATTTCTTACTAATTAGTAGGTATGTATAATTATTTTACCTCAATGATCACAAGGTATCGGAAAGATTAAGAAGATGGGGGAACAAGGCGGGCAGAATGCCTATAGCGTCCGATATTAAGAAATCATATTCAGTATGTGAATTGAGTATTTCAATTAACTTCTAATTAAAAAAAAACTTTTCTGAGCGATAAAAAAATCTGGTAAAAAATTTTCTTTCATAAAAATTAATAGATGGTATACGTGGGATTCGATCCCTTAGCGATAAAAATCCGAAGTATCAATAGCATACTGCTCAGAGACCACTATGCTACATCGCTCATGGTGATTTTGGGCATTTAAGTCATGTTTGTGATATGACCCGAGACTTAATGGACTTGAAGTATTTCTCGGAAAGACGCGAATGTTGTGTCATAAAAGTGTACTTTTAAGGTATTGTGGGTCTTCGCTCCATGTTTTTGTAAACCAAAAAATGTGTATTTTATTGCAAACTTTTCGGATCATCTTTCTAAAAAATGGAGCGAAGACCCACACATATTGAAAAATTTTGTTAAAGTACGAGCTCGAGAAAATGATCGTTTTTGCTCTTTTAAGTGCGTATAAGCTTTTTCTTAGGCAAATATTTTCTGTTTTTGTGTGATTTTTGTAAATTGTAGAGATTTTATATAAAGAATACTCTAATATTAGATGAAATATCAGATAAAATTTGGATTTAATTGAGATTAAAATTTTCACTTCTTATCTGTCGCACTATAGGCACTTCGCCCGCATTATCCCCCATCTTCTTTTTAAAATTTTTATTTGTATTCTTAATCCCCCTCTGATGTTTCAAGGTTTTTTTTCTTTTTGATTAGAAATAAGAAGAATCAAGAATGTTTTCAGTGCTCGGGAAGAGAGAAAAAAAAAGCTTTTCAATTATTTAGTCTTAATGATTCCACTTAAATATATTCCTTTTAAATAAAACACATGTTTGTAACATTTTTATCCACTGTCTGATTGTTTTTAGAACATATTTTTGAGTATGACCCTTCTTATACTAGAATATTGCAGATCCTATGGTTTCCTGGACTTGTTTCTCCTTTCTGAAAGGCGTTTTTTTTTTTTTTTGAAAAATGAAACAATTTAAAGTGCGTAATATCTTATGAATATTGTTGGTGTGACAAAACATGAACTATCTAATTATTCCAAAAATTCCTTTACTCTTCATGGCGTATGGGTTTGGACGCTGTCATGAAGAAATTTAGAAAAGTGGATTCCTGATACTGGTTCTAGCCTCTCATTATCCTTTCGGATTTTGGGGGCAAAAATTTGCATTCTAGACTTCTCCAAAAATTGAACTGCCTCCCTGAATAAGAGTTTGAACAAAAAGACCACTAATATTAAAGAAAATGGCTTCTCACGTATTCCAGTTAACATTTCTTTAAGATTCTTAACGAGTTTTACAGTAGATTTAATATTGCGCTTAATTTCACTTTATACTTTACTGATTCTTTACCATTAATTTTTAATGCAGTGTCTCGAATAGCTATTGTTTTTCAGCTTCTCGCAATGAAACTACATGTGATGAAAAGGTGTAAAATAAATTGTAATCAAATCATTTAAGTTTCAATCATGAGAGAAAGTCAAGCTTAATTTCAGATGATTTCTATGTTGTATGTCATAGAGCCCAGGACATTATTTATTGAACAGTCCTCGTATTTTAGACTTGGTGTGAAACAATCCTATATTTTGCAAAACTGAAAAAAAAAGAATTATAAAAAATTGTACACATTATATATTTTTCAAAACCTTTATTACTCGTAAATTACCTGAGCCAAATGAGTACTTAACTTTACTAGTACGAGGGGTGATCAAAAAGTTCGCAAACTATCTCTATATCTACAAAACCACAATTCAGATGAGAATGAAATTCGGTACACACAAAGCCATACACAAGGTCTATAAATAGCATAAGCTGAATAAAGTTTTTCTCCTTGTTTGTAACGTCACAATGTGAAACCAAATATTGTTTTTTTTATGGAAGTTATTCAATTAGTTCGCGAACTTTTTGATCACCCCTCGTATAGAAAAGATGTTTAGGTCTGTTTAGCATATTAGTACTATAAAGTTCACATTTATTTCAAATTGATTAGTAAAGTTCTAGAAATAAAGGTTTTTGAGATATATTATTGAATGCATGATTACAAGGTGTTATTATTTTTTTTTCTTCGTGAAATATGAAGACAACCAACAGTAATCAAGCTCAGATGGAACAACACAGATTAGGAACGTCTGCATCTGGAAAAATGTCAATTTCACACCCCCTGTCGACCGGTTTCATGAAAGATGGTGATAACGAACAGTATTCAAGATCAAAAAGTCCGCAAACAGTACAAAGTAGTAGCAGAGCAAACATGGACCTCCCAAACATCTGACGTGGGATCAGGAGCCATGGTGCATCCTACCGAATAAACCGTGGTCACTTAGGTCGCATAGGTGCTTTCACGAAAAAAAGCCTTCAAATAGGTAAACAAAATTGCAGTTCTCCACAGGCGCATATGAGTGGAAAATTCTTTAGAGGAACATACACCATATAAAGATTTAATTAAACTATCTTTTGACTCGTTTTACATTTAGAAAGATGCTCTTCTTGTAATTATTGAAATGTAGCAATTAGAATCAATATGTTATTAAAACAGAGATTATTCGATGCCAGGATCGCTTTTTGATCACGAGTTTTTTTTAATATGCAAACAACAATATTGTTGTTCGAACGCATACCCATATATAATTATAGAAGGAATAAATGTTTGTATTGGGACCACTTCAAAGGATTTAAACAACACCTTATACATACTCGGATGCGCCTGTGCTTTATTGGACTTTTCTTCAGTCTGTATCGGTATATTATTTTTATCATTTGTCATAAATACCAAAAATACACAAATTATGGATAATATCGACAAATGGTCGTACGTTGATTACTTAACAGTGAGACGGATTTCCATTCGTACCCTTTAAGTTCGCCGTTAGTGGGGGGAGTGATCACTATTCTTTCATTTACACTCGCAACATCAGTCGCGGGAAAATTCGTGAAAGTCAAAATCTCGTTATTCCCAAATAAAGAGTTCCAAGTTCCACCTGACAATCTTTCTCCATCTATTATCATCTCGAAACTTCTTGATCCCAGGGTATTATTAATGAATGAATCTAAAAAAATAAAAAATACGACAAAATCTTAACTGTACTAAAGCTACTATTTTTTAAACTTTCAAGAATTTGATACTTGATTTGTCAGTTAATCCAAGTGTTATTTTACTTATTAGTTTTAGTTTAAGAAAGAAAATAAATGTAAATTGCACATTTGTTCTCTGTTAAGCATAGTACAATTATAGACATTTCGCTACAGAATTCAAATTAATTGTAGCTGGGTATATATTGTGGAGTATAGAATGTGTGAATGTGTGGAAATCCAAGTTAAGAAAAGCAAACAAAAAACAAAAAACAAAAAAAAAAACCAAATACATTATTACCAAAAAATAGGACAATTAAAGCTTAACTCCTCTTCTAAGAATATTAAAAGACCTATATAAACATAAGAAATATGTCTTTTTAAAAGAAGCAAAAATCACTCGATACCCTTTTTAAAATCTTGATATTTTGAATCTACTTACAAGCTAAGCTGCTGACAAAAAGGTTCTCTTCTGTCGAATCTATTTTTAGTAGTGTTTCGTTTCTGTCGTTACATGTGTCAAACGCTGTGTTCTTACTGAATGTGTGTCCAGCATACCGGAAACAATACTGAAACATTCTCGTGTAGAAGTATCCTCTATTGCAGGGACCTATGGAGTTATGATATGAAGAGAGAATTGATAAATTATTCCTAGGCTTATTTTTCATTGCAATAGATAAATGCATTATCTCATATTTAAACTTTTCTCTCATCGATTTTTAAACAATTAATGATATTCATAGTACATGTATATCAGACTTTTAAAAAATCGAATAATCAACATCTAACATAGAATTTTGGCAAACACTATCTTGAGCTTAGATATGTACGAGTAAAGTTAGCTACTAGTAACTGGCTACATGAAGCTGACTACAACAAGTGGGTAAAGTTGGCTACTAGTACACGTAGCTGGCCACGACTAGTAAGAAAAGTTAGCTACTAGTAACTGTCTTTAAATGTAAATAAAACTAGCTACTAGTATGTGGTTACGACAAGTGACTAGTTGTGCTCTTGGTATAATTATAAATAAATATTCTTCAGGTTTATTAGTCTATAAATGTCCAAAAAGGATTTGATTTACCAGTACTCAATAATCAAATGGTAAAATCAATATTTGTTTTGAATCATAATCGCATTTAAAAAGTTTTAGATGAAGAATAAATTACATAATTTTTACGTTTTTTTCGCCTGGAAAGTACTTCATTCTTTTTTATGATTTGTAACATTGAATTATATCAGAGTTTTCTTTAAAAAGCATATTTCAATTCTCTCTCTCTCTCTCTCTCTCTCTCTCTCTCTCTCTCTCTCTCTCTCTCTCTCTCTCTCTCTCTAAAATTGTAGATTTTAGGTTTCTCTTTAATCGAATCACGTCATATACTCATATTATCATTAAATCAATGTATTTTACAACAATGTTTGATTTCACCAGGTAGTTAATTAGATAATTGTTATGGTTGTTGTTTTGAAAGATTTCAAAACTGTTTGGATCACTCGATGTCTTTTGTGATAAATAAAATTATGTCTATAATGAAACTTATTTTAGAACCATCCTAATTAATCCGATTAAAAAATCAAAATAAGAGGCGGATTTAAATAACAAAATGTTTTCTTTGGTTGTTTGTACGGGAATTAATGTCGCAGCTGTTGCAGACAAAAATACATAACCCGTGTATTAGCGGATTCTGTAATTTTTTTTGTAATAACTGGGACATAAATTCCCGTATTCACCCATTCTCAATATAAGGGCGCAAATAATGTCGCCTCGTTTTCATTTAGAAGAAATACCACTGATGTAATTTTTAAATCAACATTGTAAATAGTCATATAACAATGAATAAGAATTCATATAATTATCGATCTGAACGGGTATATAAGGAGTTCAAAATTCAAATATAGTAGCCTATTTGAAATGTACGTTACTGTCGCCAAGGCAAATATTATGCTGAATCCCCTCTGTGTAATATATAGTTTTGATTCTCAAGTAAAAATTTTCTGATAAGTTAAACCTTGTATCATATATACTTCTTTTCATAACAATAAATACATTTTCTTTGTGATAATAAATAATTTTTATTGTGCAATGTCCCTGTCGCTTAATTCTATTTTAACCACATTACAAGCAAACACAAAGATTATACACCTGATAGTTTTGTTCTCCTTTATTTATTGATGGGCTAAATTTGAAATTTCAAAGGGTTAATTACTCCTACATAGATATTGTAACATGAAATTGAACAATTTGAGCAACTTTTATAAATATGTCTACGGAATGAAAGACATTTTCAATCGTAGAGATAAGAAAGAAATGTACGTTACCTATATTCTTCCATTAAGAATATATATTAAGTAGAAAATATGAGACGACTCTGAATAAGCAACCCCTTGTAACCTGTAAACTGGCAAAGACGTTTTGCTTAACACAATTAAAAATTATTTTTTACATGAAAAGTGATCATTTGAAATGTACGTGACTGAAATGTACGTTACCATGAAATTCGAATTAAGTGAATCTCGCACGAATTTTCATGTAAAATACTTTCACACACTCGAATGTGTACACAAAGTAAAGTTACAACGGTTGGAGGTCGGCTAAATCCAAAAATTAATCAAAAGAAACGTTTCTGCTGAGGAAAAAAAATATATTAAGGTCAATTATATGAAATATAATTTTGATACCTGGTATATATTTCTGAATACAAAACCTGTATGATGCATTTCTTATGATATGCAAGTTCAAATAGTATATTATATATTGCGTGTCTAACGTACGCTTGTGGAAGAGAATTGATTTTTATATTTGAAATGTACGTTACGAATGGTAACGTACATTTTGCGCATTTCTAACTGACATTTTTTTTATTATTTAGTCAATTAATTGCTTTTACACGAGCGAAACAAAATTATCGTTACAATCCATTTGACAAATGACCACATAAATCCATCTAAATGCACCCCAATCCTCGTAAATGTGGTGGACTGTTACCACTTGCTAGAAAATTTATTTCTATGTGTCTTAAATTCATCTTTAGCAACCTTTTTGCAGTTTGTTTACTTTTAATACGCGACTTTTCGTCAATATTAATTTAATTGTTGTTGGTAATTTAAAACAAGGTATTCATAGGCTTATAATTGGTAAAAAAAAAAAAAACCAAAACGAAACAAAAAGAAAAAGGAAAAAGAAACAAAACAAATGAATCCAGAACACAAGACGGTCACGTACATTTCAAATACTGAAAGGCACACAATACTCAGTTTTGTTTGAATCATTGCATTTTAGGTTATATTTTTCCAGATCTGCTGAAAATTACGTATGTTTGTGTTTTGACAAACGATGTTGCAACATACTATTAAAATGAAATTGTTAACAAGACTGTCGATGGATATATTCGGAATAGATTTATGTTAAGTTTCAATGGCCAAACACAAGCATTTGTTAGATCTTAGCAAAATACGTCTGACTCTTTTTTTTTTTGTCTGTACCCTTGCACACAGGTAGAAGTAACTAGGCTACGACCGGTGTCAATTTCAGCGAAACAGCACAAAAGAATGGTAATGAACTGAGATGGAGGGGACTCCCCAATAATATGTGAAATGAACGTTACCGAAGTGACGTGACATTCATGTAGTTGATGACAAATAACCACGTTTGTTACCATATCATTTCTTATATTACTGCGTTAAAACGCTTCATTGAAATGATTTTTATGTCAATAATTGTTTTTTTCCCAATATTTTCTTATTACTAATTTACGTACATTACAAGCTTGAAATGTACGTTACCTACTCATATTCTGAGGCAATCGTGTCTTTATAGTGATGATTGTGACATATAACACAATGTGATTACATAGAGAATCTTTTTTGGAATAAACTGAAACAAAACTATGAATTTTTAGATGAATTTTAAGCTTTTTATTTATCAGAAATATATCTTGAAATGTACGTTACATTTCTCTCTCTCTGTCTAAATCGGCATGGATATATGTTAAAATAGACAGTAACTACAAAATATAATTTTACTACATGTACATGTTAAGTTCCACTATCTATAGAAAATGACAAGATTCTAAACTGATCGCTCTAAACAAAACAGAGAGAAGAATTTAAAGCATATATTTAAAAAATGTTTTTATACATCTGGGTCAAAAAGTATCCTTTGTTTTTTGAAAGGAAAAATCAAGCGCACGTTCGTATGCCGAGAAAATATGTTGCTGACAGAGTTGGTAGGATGTGCTGGTGTTAAGATGAGATATTCCAATTGTGATTTTAATGACTACATTTTTTTTACATATCTTTTTGGACATTGAAGAAAGAGTAACGTACATTTCAAGCTACATTTCTGAATAAAATCACCCTCTACTTTACCGTCTTGTCATTATTCCATGTATTAAACTTTGATGAAAAAAAACCTGGAAACAAAATCTTCAGATACTTTCTTTCAAAGGTAATTGATAGAAAAATTGTTATCTTGAACTTCATTTTTTAAAAAATCAGAGAGGCATTTGTGCCCTTATATTGAGAATGGGTGATTAACAATCAAGAATTGACATTTTATTGTTTATATTTACATATGTATGAATCAAAGTAAAATAAAATATGTTAAATATTATAGATGAATACGTCATTGTTTGCACCACTGATGGAACAGCCATTGTTCAAGAAATCTATGCACATGGCTTGCTTAATGTTGTTTTTTCACTAATCAATAATAATGGTGATCATAAAAATAAAGGAAAAATATTCAGTGGATGTAAATGTATTACCATAATATATGAAGCATATTATAATATTATAATACATGTATATGAAGTAAAAGGTGTAACAAAGAAAAACTGGAACATATTTTTTTTTCTTAAATTGACATCAGTATTACCTTTAATGAAAGAAATTCAATCTGGAATCGTTCCAATATCCGACCCTCTCAAAATAAACGGATGGACTATCCCTCGGGTACAATACAAATGAAAAATTACCACAAACAAATAAAATAATATACAATACAAATAAGAAGAAATTATATAATGGAAATAAAAAATTTAAAAAATTACACAAAAATAAAAATTAAACAATCAAATAAAAAAAATATGCAATACAAATGAAAAATTATACAATGCAGTTAAGAATACTACCAAGCAGATAAAAAGTTATATAATACAAGTGGAAAAAGATTTAATATTTCAACGTTTGATATGTCAATTACAAAAATATGCCTTCAAAGCCTATTTTGTTTGAACATTTTATCTAAAAATGAAAACAAACACTTGCCCATTTCAGAGTAAGTCCTCCAACCTGCTGAGGGGCTACCGATGGCGTCAAGTAAAAAGTGTGTCCAGTAAAGACGACAAAGCAATAGTTGTTCGTGAATCTGGAACGAGGCACAGTTTCCAGAAGATAGGCATAAAAAGGCGCAGTCTGAATCTTTTCGAATTCCTGTTTGTTCCAAGAAAGCATGTTGAAAGATTACGTCACTTAATTCATCTCGGATGAAGAAAGTAGTCGAAATTGGAATTCCTGTGCTCAAATAACAGCAATTCAGGGAAAGAAGAATAATAAGTTCCAACTTAAGCGACAACATTTTATTTGTTGCTGTTTTTTACATCAGATAAGTGTTTTCTAGTGCTATAGATCACTTTAAATTGATTGATTGAAGATAAGCATTCCTTGAATATCGTAAGTTTTCGTTCTGAAGTTTTCTTGCTTGTTTTCAGCTTTTAAAACTTGCATTGTTAAAATTCCATTAACACCCATTTAATCCTATTGATTTTATACCTTCAAAATGTCATGTAAATCTGTTATCCAAAAAAAATTCTGCTTTTCATTTTTAAGATACAATAAATCCATTACGTTTCCTGGGAACTTAGAAATTAGATGAAGAATTAGCATCCGTAAACGAACATTCATTGGAGACAATCTTATGAATCTGTGCAGATATATACACGTGACGGTTTAAATCAATACGGGTATTCTTGGTGGAGAACAAGCATATGAATATAACAAAATATGTTGTATATGTACTTAAATGAAGGACAACATTCCTTCCCAAAGCGTTTTGTAAAAAAGAAAAACAGAAAAAAAAACATAAATATATTCCACAACATTTCCAATGTAAAGAAATGATACAACGTCAAAACGTATGGACTATCAAACTAAATATAATGAACAGAAAATTCAATATTGGTATTAGGATAAACTGTTTTAGACTATAAATTGTTTCGCAGTCGTAAAACTATGTAAAAGTTGTCGCAGGCATTAAATAAATTTTAAATCCAGCTATATAAAAAATAACTTAAATTAATTTATTTTAGGATATTATCGGCAAAAATTTTTTATATAATTTGAATTCAAAGAAATATACTTCCACTTGCATCCTTGTAGTTCTAAATTACCGGGTGACTAACTCAAGTTTCACAAACTTGAAAGCGGGGGACATAATGTCAATTGGGGGACAGCATCATACCGGCTATTATGTTCCCTGCTGTCGCTATGTTCCTGGCTTTAAAGGTTGTGAAAACCAGTGCCTCTTAATTCTCAAATTAAGCGACACATTGGCCAAGTTATCTTGGCCAAATTCTTTTCCACATGTAGAATCAGCTTTGAAAACTAGCTTTTGTTGAAGAAAGAATCTTTATGATCATTGAAAAAATGGTTCGTTAGATTCTTTTGAAATATTTTCTTTCAATCAATATATAAAGTTTTCATCGAAAACAAAATCATAAAAGCTTATTTTTAAAGAAAATTTGTGTAAAGACAGATACATTAAATTAAATTTATTAATTTTTTTGTGACTTTTTTAGAATTATTGTCTATTATACATTTTCTATTTAAAAATTACTGTATTTTCTTTCATAAACTTAAAATTATGTTTCTAATCATTTCATGTTTTATTTTAATTTATCTGTCTTTCACAAATTTTATTTAAAATAAACTTTGTTGTTATGACTGAAAGAAATATGACAGTTTAAATTACTGTAAACCAACTTTTATTTGTAACGGACCTGAGCTGCTTGGATCTCACGCACAAGTACTTGTTAAAAACCTACACGGGAATAACCCATGTAGTACTGTGATGATTAACGAGAATAACCCTTAAATAAAGATCTCCTATAATAACACAAGAACCAAAGTATTTCTCAACAAATCTACACAATCTATTAAAACTATTTAAAGCAAGAAAGTCTTAATTCCTGCTTAAATATTTCTATTAACGCAACTTAATTATCACTTTAAATTGATTGAATTCCTAAGATCTATCAAAGATATTCAATTATTTACACGGAAAGACTTCAAGACTCACTTTCAGTCAAACCGTAACAAAATTATTTAATCGTTTAATATCGAGATTAACCCAATATAAACGTCCTAAGATAAATACTAGTAATTAATAGTGATACGAGATTAACCATGATCACTATAAGAAAAATTGCTCAATTCCTACTGAAAAATTCTAAGAATCTAATAAAACACCCTCTAACCTCAAAATCTTAACACCGAGTCCCACCGGCAATGCTTTACACTCGTTTTTATAGCTCTGGAGAGTCCCCCCGGAAACGCACGCGCTTCCTTAGGGATGACCGGCAGATCTCCGGTACAACCGGCAGCCACCGGTGTAAAGACGAATAATGACCCCCCATCGAATAATGACCGGGGGTCATTTTTCGACAGCGAAAAATGACCCCCGGTCAATATTCTACCGCGAAAAGTGACCCCCGGTCATTATTCGACGTCGAAAAATGACCCTTTTGACCGTAGAAAAAGTGTCACCACCCTAAAAATTTGCAGAACCCACGTGCAGAAAAATGACCCCCGTAGAAAAATGACTCCCTGTGGATTTCAGCTGAAATTTTTAAGGGGCATAGAAATTAGATAAACAAGCATATTGGCCAAAATGCTCACCTGAGCTGATTGGGAATAAATTGTTGATATGTTGATCTCATAACATTATACAAGTATAGCTATATTTTAAGGTCAATGCAATGATTCAGAATCTAAAGAGTAAAAGATTTATCAACCCTAAAGAGTTAGGTAAACATTGTTTTTCGATGGTGGAGATCATCGTACTGACAGAAAAAATCAGCAGTATTATATATCATTATGTCCTCCGCTTGAAAAGCGGGAGGGTATATAGTGATCGGGATGTCCGTCCGTCTGTTACGCTTTGGGGTATCCATCTCTTATCCGCAACTCCTCTTATAATATAAAAACATGTGTTTGTGAAACAGCTACGCCCCTGTATGGCAACATAGCGAAGACTTAATTTTTCTTAAATGCAATTTAAATATATTGGTACCCAAAGTATGGTCTTCTTACAAGAAATACAATTGCAAAATAGGAAAGCCCTTGCACCACTTGTTCAAAAGTAATGGCTGAGGATTAGTTTTTGAAAGGTAGGTCAAACTCAACGGTCAAAGGGTCAAAGTTGATGGTTTCTTAAGAAAGGTTTAATGTAACAAGGATTACATATGTGAATTATGAAAACCCTATAGCCCTCACCGTTTAAAAGTTATGGCCAAGGTTAAAGTTTTTTTTTTCATAAGTACGGAAATCTCCAAGGTCAAGGTCAAAAGGTCAAAGTTTTTAGTATGCAGTGAAAGGTAATGCCAAAAAAATACATATATGAAGTATGAAAGTACTAGAATCTACCGTTTAAAAGTTAAGGCCAAATAAAAAATTTGGCATTTTTGTGTAAAATGGGATAAACTCCAAGGTAAAGGTCAAAAGGTCAAATCTGGTGGTATCCGAAGTAAGGTCTTGTCACAAGGAATACAAATATTAAATATGAAAGTCATAGCTCCAATAAATGAAAAGTTATGGTCAAGGTTAAAGTTTTTGCGGACAAACAGACCGTCAGATAGACAGACAGACACGATAAATTTATATACCCCGGAATCTTTGATTACGGGGACATAAAAAGAAATGGTCTTCAATTAACTTTACATATTATGATACAGTGTAAAGAAGACGTTACAAAAATGAAAATGTTTGTTCTGATTTTCATATTAAATTCGCTGAAAAATATACTCAGAACTGAGTATAAGAGTGGAGTAAAACAAGAATTAAGGTTCATAAATCCTTTGCTTACTCATATAAAATTTTCCCATAACTTTATTGTTTTTCCAAAAGAAATGTATATGCTGAATAAATACAAACAATTATAGCACGGCTTGCGGGGCAAAATTTGACAAAAAAGGCACTTAAAGGTCAAGTATAATATTTTTGTGAAAATTCATAATTATTCATTATTTTCAGCCTCTGTAGCAATATGAATGACATTCTGAGGTCTCTTTATTTTTTTTGTCACCAATTTCCATCACTAATAGTCGTTTAAACTTACCTGTGTGACAAGTGGATCATTTATTGTAAATCGCTTATCTCCCTTGTTGCGTGACGTCATCAGAGACAGCGAGAAATAGGAAGTGAATGCTATATTGCCGTGTTTGGAACATTATTGTTTGCGAGATGTTGCCATGTGGGCTTTTAACTGTACCAGTCATGAGTATACATATATTGAAATTCTTACGCACCTAAAATTTAGGGAAATATGGACATTCAATCTAAAAAGAGATGGTTTTGAGCCCAATAAACACGAAACACTATAAATATAAGAGACATTTTACATAGACCAGTTTAGGCTACATTTTAATTAATCATAAAATTATCTCACGAATTTCTTGGTTTTATTTCAATTTAAATTGCATTTTTCAATTTGTCAGTTTAGGTATTCATAGCCGCAATACTGTTTTGAGGGAAAGTTTTTTTTAATTCTTGTTACAGTACTCAACAATATCACAAGTAACTGAGGATTGGTTCATTTACTTTGCCCCTTCCCCCCTACTGAAAATAAAACTAAGCAAAATATACATGAATTCCTTGTCCATCATACCAATACTTCTATATTTTATATTTTCCGCTTTTGTCAAGTTTTAGAGATTGGCCCTTTACATTAGAGCATGCACTCGGTATACATATATACAAATGAGTTTCATCATCTATGTTGTTAGAATTACATCTATTACAGAACATTACGCGGCGCCAAGTCAAAAGTACATGTATTTCGGCGTAAAACTCTAACATGCTGGAGTAAAAAAAATACTAGCAATTTTCATATACTGTGAAGGAACAATCTCTAAAACTTGACTGACAAAAAACGGAAGGTGTGATATAATAGAAAAGGAATTGATTATCTGCCAAGTTATCGTGTCTAAAAAAATCTCTGTTGAGATGGGGTATGTCCTGGAAACATCCTCCCCCCTCTAAATCCGTGCATAATACATGTATCTGTCTCAGAAAATACTTACTCAAAAATGGGTTCATTTAGTTCCAGTTTTTCCCTTTTCTAGAAAATTTTTACATTAAAATTTTTCCATTATATGTTTATTCAAACAATAAAACCTCAGTGTTCATGCACGCAAGTGATTGTTCCTCAATTTTCTGCCCGCAGTTTTGTTTTCCTCCTGCACTTATTTTCTCTTGTGCTGGCGTCTTGACATTAAGTTACCACAAGAGTATATGAAATCAGAATGTATACTTAAAATAGTTTTGTTTTCTTTTTTCTAAACTAAATTAGGGTGAAATAAT